GAGGCGGGTGGGGGGATTGGTTAGCCTGGTGATGGGTATTAAACAGGGCACGTTCTGCATGGAGCACTGGGTGTTATATGCAAACAATGAATCATGGAACACTACATCAAAAACTAATGATGTAATGTATGGTGACTAACATGGCATAATAAAATAAAATTTAAAAAAATTATAAGAGAGGGGTGCCTGGGTAGCTCAGTCATTAAGCGTCTGCCTTCGGCTCAGGTCATGATCCCAGGGTCCTGGGATCGAGCCCCGCATCGGGCTCCCTGCTCAGCGGGGAGCCTGCTTCTCCCTCTCCCACTCCCCCTGCTTGTGTTCCCTTTCTCGCTGTATCTCCCTCTGTCCAATAAATAAATAAAATCTTAAAAAAAAAATAAAAAATAAATAAATAAAAATAAAAATCATAAGAGAGACTTGGTTTCCAGTACTGGTGACTCACTAACAGTATACATAATACAGATTTATTCATTTTTATTTTCAGTATTTCTTGATTCACATTTTTGTAGAAAATATTAAATACTCTAATCTTTCCCCTAGGATTATTCAAAATAATATTATCTACTCTAGATAAATTGGCTCCATGTAGTAGTTAACTGTAGTTATACATTCCAACCCAAACCTCAAGCTTAAACTTTCTGCTTCTATCATTGTTGCTATAAGACATTCTTCGTTTCTGGATCAATTAAACTTTTTCTTTTTTTATTCTTATTCTTACCAGACAGATTGTAATTTGACAAACTACATCCCAGAGTAAATAAGAACTTCTGGAAGAATGAAAGCAGTTATAAGTTAGTAAACTCTAATTTTCACCAAGTTCTTACCTACATGATTTAGTCAAAGGGCATACATACTTGGGCTCTGGGTAACCAAACCAGCATATCTCTCTCCACATCTAGCTTAGACATGCCCACTTTTAATTCTTGCTTATTTCATTTCACCTCACTTTTCAGTGCCAGCTGATGTATAATGATCCTAGAACTTTTAGCACAGGTCTAATTGGACCCACTGTGCACTCATAATGAGAATTTTAGAAATGAAAGTAAATACTGGAAGAAAACTATAGGTCAATGTAGAAAAATACTTATTTGTGCCTTTCATAAATATCTTTTAGTCTTTTCTATTTCCACATCGCTGGCCATGAAAAATCAAAAGTCCTCAGGAAGCAGAAACATATTTTTATATTGATTTCTTATCTTTTACAGCGTTATGTCTCCCATTCTAACACTGACTTAAAAGGCTGGAATTCCTTCCCCTCCACATCCTATTTTCTTTTGCCTTAGACTTTCCATTCTTCAATCTCTTCCCATCTCCCTGACTTCTTTCTTTTCTTTTTTTT